TATGAGATAAGGAACTGGGCTCCTTCCTGGCTCGGCTGATCTCTCATGTCACATGCTGGTGTCATGAGCTACCACAGCCTTGAAATTCCTCTAATCACTCTCCTGCCTGCACCAAAGTTCATAAGGCATAATGCTCTTCATGTGCAAAATGAATGTTTTAAGACCCCTGGAAAAGAGAGCCCAAGGCTGTGGCAGCCTCTTTCCCCTCCTTTCTGTGGATTTGTTCTTTGGTTTGGTTTGGTTTGGTTTTTTTGAGACCAAATCTCACTCTGTCACTCAGCCTGGAGTGCAGTGGTGCAATCTCGGCTCATTGCAACCTCCACCTTCTGGGTTCAAGCAGTCCTCCTGCTTCAGCCTCCGAGTAGCTGGGATTACAGGCACCCGCAACCACACTCGGCTAATTTTTGTAATTTTAGTAGAGCTAGGGTTTCACCATGCTGGCCAGGCTGGTCTTGAACTCCTGACCTCAGGTGATCCACCCACCTTGGCTTCCCAAAGTGCTGGGATTACAGGTGTGAGCCACTGTACCCAGCCCCTCTGTCCATTTGTTCTATAGGTTAGAGGACGGAAGGAACCCAACTGCCTCTGGAGCCCTCCCTTGGCCCTTAGTTCTTCCATCTCTGCTGAAAGATTTCACCACCAACTATCTAAGCAAATAGTATTGGGTGCCGTGGAAGAGTGAGACATGAAAGAGCTGCTTGTGAATAAAAGTCCTGGCTGTTGGACGCGCCGGCTCACGCCTGGACCCCAGTGCTTTGGGAAGCTGAGGTGGGCGGATCATGAGGTCAGGAGATTGAGACTATCCTGGCCAACATGATGAATCTCCATTTTTACTACAAATGCAAAAATTAGTCAGGCATGGTTGCTTGCACCTGTAGTCCCAGTTACTCAGGAGGCTGAAGCAGGAGAATTGTTTGAACCTGGGAGGTGGAGGTTGCAGTGAGCCGAGATTGTGCCACTCCCCTCCAGCCTGGCAACAGAGCAAGACTCCGTCTCAAAAAAAAAAAAAAAAAAAAAAAAAGTCGTGGCTGGGCACAGTGGCTCACTCCTGTAATCCCAGCACTTTGGGAGGCCGAGGCAGGTGGTTCACGAGGTCAGGAGATCAAGACCATCCTGCCTAACACAGTGAAACTAAAAATACAAAAAAAAAAAAAAAAAAAATTAGCTGGGCATGGTGGCATGTGCCTGTAGTCCCAGCTACTCAGGAGTTTGAGGTAGAAGAATCACTTGAACCCAGGAGGTGGAGGTTGCAGTGAGCCAAGATCATGCCACTGCACTCCAGTGAGCAGAAAGTCCATAGAACAATTCCTTTGCCCTGGGTAGGGTCAACTGAATCTGATCCTCAAGCCCCAGCCTTTGGGATCCTTTCTTTGTCCTTATTCCCAGATAAGCTCCCTTTCCCCAGGCTTGGTGCCCGGTGTCGTGACCCTGCCCATCCAAAGCTGCTTGCAAGAGCAGGGAGGGCCGGGCGCGGTGGCTCAAGCCTGTAATCCCAGCACTTTGGGAGGCCGAGGCGGATGGATCACGAGGTCAAGAGATCCAGACCATCCTGGTCAACATGGTGAAACCCCGTCTCTACTAAAAATACAAAAAAACTAGAGGGGCATGGTGGCGCGTGCCTGTAATCCCAGCTACTCAGGAGGCTGAGGCAGGAGAATTGCCTGAACCCAGGAGGCGGAGGTTGCGGTGAGCCGAGATCGCGCCATTGCACTCCAGCCTGGGTAACAAGAGCGAAACTCCATCTCAAAAAAAAAAAAAAAAAAAAAAAGAGTAAGGAGACTGCAGCATCACAGGCAGGCAGGCAGGCGGGTGCTGGCTGTACCCTCCACAAGCTCTGTGAATTTGTGCAAGTCCCCTGGTCTCTGAGCCCAATGTCCTCATCTGTAAAGTGAGCACAACAATATCTAGTGCACAGGATTGCTTCAAGGCACATGAAGGAGTGGATATGAAACACCAGCACATAGTACACAGTAAATAAAAGGTAGGTATTTGTTGTAGAGTGTCACCATTCCAGGTGTACTGCAATTTTACAGGCAAAAGGTCTAGTCAAAGGAATGACCTTACACAGTGAATTGAAGACCATAACCAGGAAGGAAAGTGTGTTTAAAGGGATTGGTCATCTTTCTACTGCCATCACATGATAGCAGCAAGAAAAGCAGGTTTTATGCTATAATTTTTTTATTTTTATTTTTTTATTTTGAGAGGGAGTCTTACACTGTCGCCCAGGCTGGAGTGCAGTGGCGCGATCTCGGCTCACCACAATCTCCACCCCCCAGGTTCAAGCAATTCTCCTGCCTCAGTTTGCTCAGTCTGTAATCCCAGCTACTCGGGAGGCCGAGGCAGAGAATTGCTTGAACTTGGAAGGCAGAGGTTGCAGTGAGTCGAGATCATTCCACTGCACCCCAGCCTGGGCAACAGAGTGAGACTCTGTCTTAAAAATAAAATAAAAATGCAGAAACTAAATAAATAAATAAGAACAAAGGAATGCAGAAACGAGCTCACAGAGGTGAAATGACTTGGTGGGAAAAGACAACCCCAGGGGCTGATTCCTCTGGATTCCAGGCTCCATGCTCTTTCCGCCATGCCCTCAATTGCAAGTGTGTAATACTGACAAGCTTAACTGGACCACAGAGAGCCAGAGTGTGTCATTGTCATGCCATGTCCCAGTGCAGCTTTTCTGCAGGAGCATGTCTTGCATTTGACGTGGGGAACTAGGGCGGAATGTGGTTCTTGCCCACAGCATTACTTTCCAGCCAGCTTCTCTGGAACACATGTGCCCCATGCCATGGACAGAACCAAACTCTTGATCTTACCCTGCCCCTCAGCTCCTCCTCCAGCCTTTCCCATGTATTTGGGGTACAGGATACTCCCAACTGTCTACTTCCTCCTTCTGGAAACCTGTTGCTTCCCACTCCCTCCCCCCAAAACCCCTTGCTACCCTGTCCTTATTCTTCCCCGAAGAAACTGTAGCTTCATCCACTCCCTTTCTACTGCCCTCATCCTGCGACCATTTTCATTTGTTTGACTTCAGCTTGCCTTAGAATGACAGGGGGAGCTTGTTAAAACTCCAATGACAGGACCCTCCTCTGGCACCCCAGAGTTTCTGAATCAGTAGATCTGGAGGTGGGGCCCCAGAATGTGGATTTCTAACAAGTTCTCAGTGATGCTGATACTGCTGTTCTGAGGTCCACCCTTTCACAACCTTGATCTAAGTGACTGTAATAGCCTCCTAATGCCAGCGAACCTCCCTCCAATCCATTCTCTATACAGTAGTCCAAGAGATCTTTTCACAGTCTAGCTGGATCTTGTAACTTCCTTGCCTAGAACCCTTCCTTGCCTAACCAATGGAAGGAGGGAGGGAGACTATGTGTGTCTTCTATCCCAGTGCCTTTTAGATGCTGCACAAAGCTCCCTTGAAGTTCATGCCATCAGACTGAAAACCTGCCTCCCTCCTAGTTGCTGTCACCTGCCAGTGCCCTGGTCATTCCTCCTTGTCTCTTAAGGACTTGGGCATTGGCCTCACTGCCTTCATTTTCACGATCCACTCTTTGGAGAGTGATCCATTTGACACCTTGGCCTCTCGGTTCCTTGACCTTCACGCCTCACATGGTCTTGAGCCTCCTACTCTGGATGTCACGTGCTTGACCTTTTCATCGCCAGTGACCGTGTCACCTCTTATTCTCACTTGCAAGCCCCTCACTTCCTGACTACCTTGTCCTCTTTCCAGTTTAGTGGCTCTATTGCTCCCACACCAGCAGTTATTTAATCTTATGAAGAGCAGTGATTCATTGGCCTTGTGAACAGGTCTCAGTCAATTTAGGAAGTTAATTTTGCCAAAAATAAGGATGCACACCTGGACACAGCCTCAGGAGGTCCTGATGACATGTGCCCACAGTGGTCTGAGCACAGCTGGTTTTCTGCATTTTAGGGAAACTTCTAGAGAGGTGGCATTTTGGGGTGGGAAAGACCTAGGTTTGAATCCCAGCTCTGCCATGTTAATGGAACAACCTCTGAACCAATGTCCTCTTTGGTAATGTGGGACACTGACGGCGACTTTAGTCTTATAGTTAGGATCAAGTAAGAGCATTTATACAATTCAATAAGCATTTTTCAAGTGCCTATTGTGTGATAGTGAGATAGAAGACTAGCAGAACTTGTTTTCTGGCCACAGTCCTGCCAACCAAAACAGAATCTAGTCCAGAAAAGATAAAGTGAAGAACCTAGTCAAAACCAGCAGATGGGAACAAAAGCAATTCCTAGCTGCCCTCTTTGCTCATTAGCATAACGCACTCCCAGGAGTGCCATGACAGTTTACAGATGCCATGGCAACAGCCCAAAAGTTACCACCAAGGGTCATTCCCTGGCAATGACCCAAAAGTCACTGCGCCTTTCCTAGAAAGTTCTAAATAGCTCACCCCTCAATTTGCATTAATCTCCCCTTAATTTGCAAGTAATTGAAAGTGATTATAAGTGAGTATAAATACAGTTGCTGAGAGCCCATAGTTTGCTGACTCTAGGCACACTACCTATGAGTTAACCCTGCTCCACAAGAAGCAGCACTGTTCAGGAAAAGGTTGCTATCTAACACCACTGACTTGCCCTTGAATTATTTCCTGGGCAAGGTCAAGAACCCTCCTGGGCTAAGCCCCAGTCTTGGGACTCACCTGTCCTGTGCCTTCTGGTGGCCACAAAGGGAAGAAGATAGTGAATGAGAGGAAGTGACCAATGTGGTGTTGAGACTGCAGAAATGGCAGTGATCAGTGGCAAGATGGCAAGACAGTAGCAATGAACAAGGAGACCAAGTAATAAGAAAGACTTGAGAGAGGGAGAAATGGTGAGACAGCAAGATGACAAGACAGTGACCAGTCAGATGGTGAGAGGCGGCAATCAGAGAGAGGTGGTGGTGCAGCAGTCAGTCAGGGCTGTAAGGATCAAAGCTGCAGACAGCTGGAACTGTAACCAAAGGTTCTTTTCACAGCCATCATCTTTCCTGGCAGATGGTGGAGCTGAGTGGATGGACGAGCAGCCATAGCACAGGGATCCAAAGCTCTGACTGGGAGGCTGCAGGACCGCATGTCAGTTTCCTCACAGCAGCCAAGCCTGCCTGTGCCAGGGAAGCCTGGGGAGCAGACCTTCACCTCCACCCCACGTCAGAGACCAGGTGGCCCCATTTTGGCTCCTGTGGACAGGTAAGTATCCCTTTTACCCCCCAAATATCAGGTGACCAAGGAAAATAAGGCCTTTGGCTTAGACAGTCAATTCAAAGTCCCCCATAGCACACCTGATCACATCCCTATTGCCCCTTTTCTAGGTCATTTCTTTTCTAACACCATTTTATTTTTCTGTCAGCCATTTTATTTTGTTTTCTACCCTGAAATATATTTTTTCTTTGCAGTTTTTGCTTTGGCTCCCTGCTAACTGTATTTGGGCAGTTGTTTAAAGCTGAACACGTGGTTATGAAGCTGAACACTTGGTTATGAGAGGTCCCCTGTTGTGTTGACCCTGGGATGCCAGAGTTATGTTGTTCTGTCGCTCCAACTTGGTCTATGGGGTTCACTGTTGATCGCCCTTGGGATGCTCTGGGATTTCTGGCATTAGGACTCACCATTAGGATGCCTTTTAGGCTATCAGAGAAAATTCAATTTTGGCTTAAGGAAAAAGAAACTCATTTCCTATTGCAACACCATTTGGGTCCAATATAAATTAGAAGGCCGAAAGATTTAGCCTAAATATAGTTCTATAAATTATACTATTTTACAATTAACATTCAAAAGAAGGAAAATGGGGAGAGGTCCCTTATGTACAGGCTTTCATGGCCCTTCACTGATTCAATGTTACTTCAAGGCACGGGGAGATGGAGGGGATTAAAAAAAAAGGCACTAGGAAGTCATGCCTAAGGGATCCCCTCCTAGCTGCTTCCCTTAGAAGGCCTACTCCCTCCCAGAGCCTCCTCAGTCTCCCAATTCTGAGGGGTCCTGCCAGTTCTCTAACACAGGATTCCACCCCAAGGTCATCAGGCACTCCTCCACCTATCCAACTAGCCCCAGCCTAAACCTTCTGCTGCTGGAGAAAGTAGTCCAACCAGTACCCCCAGAAATGTGGCTCCACATCAGCCCCCGAAGTCAAAGCTGTGTCCGTTGTGGGAAGTAGCTGACGGAGATGGGGGGACACTTAGAATATACATGCCATTTTCTATGTCTGATTTGGCTTTTTGCAAGGAAAAAATTCTGCCAATTTTCAGAGAATCCATGAAAGTTTGTGGAAGAGTTTGTTAACTTGACCATGTTCTTTAACTTGGTATGACTTGTAAGTATTGTGGTCCACTTGCTGTACCATAGAGAAAAAGCAGAGGAGAGTGTCTGGTTAACCCTGTCAATTATGATAAGGCTAGAGATGTAATCCAGGGTAAAGATGAAAATCTCACTCTTTCTGGGTAGTTTGGTTGAGAAACTCAGGAAATATACTAATACAGACTCAGACTGCCTGGAAGAGCAAGCTCTCCTGGGTATGCATTTTATTACTCAGTCTGCTCTGACGTTAGGAGGAAGCTGCACAAAGCAGCAGTGAGACCCCCAATCACCTATGAACCAATTCTTAAACATGGCCTTTAACGTTTATACCAGTAAAGACGGGGCAAAAATGGAAAAGAACCAAAAAGAACAATTACTGGTGATGCTGTAAGCACCCTTCTACCTCAGGATTACCCAGCCTCAGAAAGTGTCTCAAGATTGGTATCTGGGATGCCCAGACAAGAGCATCCAACTTACCAGCCCCTGGTAATCAGCAATGAGAAGGTCCTAATCCCTGGTGAGAGGAAAACGCTCTCTGTCAATGTTAGGACTAACCTTCTTCCAATAGTTCCAACAAGCTACCTTGCTCAATCAAGTTAAGTTTGGAGGTCCCAGACCCTTGATCCAATCGACCGCTTCCCACAGTGGCAGACAAGCAGCCACCCAAATGTTTTTCTTTGGTGTCTCTGCTGCTGGGTAACCTCTCTGCCAGCTCAGGGACTCTGAGGTCTCCCTTTTAGCAATGGATTTTGCCTCTTCCCTTCCTTATTTGATGCTACAAGATCCCCTTCCCTGCCTTTTCTTGTCTTCTATACCGATTGGAGCAAACAATATTTGTCAGGTAGACAGGTCCCAATTTTATAAATAACAAATCTAGCTGTCTTGTATAGGTCACTTCATTTTTGTGATGCGCGTTGTATCTAGCATAGTATCTACTTGGCTTAAAGACTGGACATGGTGGCTCACACCTGTAATCCCAGCATTTTGGGAGACGGAGGTGGGTGGATGACCTGAGATCAGGAGTTCAAGACAAGCCTGGTCAACATAATGAAACATCATCTCTACTGAAAACACAGAAATTAGCTGGGCATGGTGGCATGCGCCTATAGTCCCAGCTACTCCAGAGACTGAGGCAGGAGACTCACTTGAACCTGGGAGGCGGAAGTTGCCGTGAGCCAAGATCACACCACTAGACTCCAGCCTGGACAATAAGTGCAAAACTCCGTCTTGAAAACAAAAACAAAACAAAATAAAACCAAAAAAAATTGGCCTATAAATAAAAGAACACTCATAAATTAAACAAATAAGACTAGTCTTAACTTGTTAGTTTGAAGGGAATATTGTGTCCTATAAAACTTAACTTCAAGCTTTTTACCTAGATAAAATACTGATTTTCATAGGCTTTAGAATGGTTAAAATGGCTTTAAATGTTGAACTTTTTGTGTAGTTTGCAATCTTAAAATTGGCTGGGCATGGTGGCTCACCCCTGTAAACCCAGCACTGTGGGAGGCCAGTGCAGTTGGACTGCTTGAGCTCAGGAGTTTGAGACCAACCTGAGTAACATGATGAAATCCCATCTCTACTAAAAATACAAAAATTAGCCGGGTGTGGTAGTGTCTGTAATCCCAGCTACTCAGGAGACTGAGGCAGGAGAAACACATGATCCCAGGAAGTGGAGGCTGCAGTGAGCTGAGATTGCACCTCTGCACTCCAGTCTGGGTGTGGTGGCATGCACCTGTAGTCCCAGCTACTTGGGAGGCTGAAGGGGGAGAATTACTTAAGCCCAGGAAGTCGAGGCTGCAGTGAGCTGATATTGCACCCCTGCACTGCAACCTAGGTGCAATCTCCGCTCACTGCAGCCTCCACTTCGTGGGCTCAAGCCTCCTGAAGTGTTTCTGTTACAGGTGTGAGCCACTAAGCCTGGCCCAAAATGTCCATTTCTTGCCTCAGCTCTGGAATCAGTGATTATCCAAGGAAGCCCTGGTTCCCTTTAGTGACAAATTGGATTTTGTAACCACAGTCACAGAACTGACCACCTCTCTACCTGGGAGCCCTCTCCTCACGTCCCTCACATCTTCATGTGATCCTACTTTTCTCCAACCCTTGACTTTGACTGTCTCAGCCTTTCGACAAGGGAACAAAAGATTAATAGCTAAAGGAAACTCATGATATAGTCACCTAATGACAGAGATATATTCTGAGATATGCATCATTAGGAGACTTCGTCATTGTGTGAACACTGTAATGTTCTCACACAAATCTGGATTGTATAGCCTGGTACATGCCTAAGTTAATGCTCTAGACCATCCCTCCTAGGCCACAAACCTGTATAGCATATTACTGTACTGAATATTGTGGGCAATTGTAACACAATCATAACTATTTGTGTATCTAAACATATCTGAATATGGAAAGGGTGGCTGGGTACAGTGGCTCATGCCTGTAATCCCAGCACTTTGGGAGGCAGAGGCAGGCAGATCACCTGAGATCAGGAGTTCAAGACCAGCCTGGCCAACATGGTGAAACCCCCTCTCTACTAAAAAGAAAAAAATTAACCAGGCACGGTGGCTCATGCCTGAAATCTCAGTTACTTGGGAAGCTGAGGCAGGAGAACTGCTTGAGCTTGGGAAGCGGAGATTGCGGTGAGCTGAGATCACACCACTGCACTCCAGCCTAGGTGACAGAGCAAGACTCCGTCTCAAAAAAGAAAAAAAAAAAAAAAAACTGGCTGGGTGCAGTGACTCTGTAATCCCAGCACTTTGAGAGGCCAAGGTGGGTGGATCACCTGAGGTCAGAAGTTCGAGACCTGCCTGACCAACATAAAGAAATCCCATCTCTACAAAAAATACAAAAATTAGCTGGATCTGGTGGTATGCATCTGTAATCCCAGCTACTTGGGAGGCTGAAATGGGAGAATCGCTTGAGCCCAGGAAGTGGAGGCTGCAGTGAGCTGAGATTGCACCCCTGCACTCCAGCCTGGGTGACAGTGAGACTCTGTCTCAAAATAGATAAATAATTTTAAAATTATAGAATGGTTCTTATCTATAGAATGTCAATATCTGATAGTTCAGGATTCTTTGCTTTCTAAGTTTATATAAAATGTGCCAGGGAAGATATGTATTATTTTTTGTGAAAAAGAATAACTTTTGTTCAATTCAGAAATTATTTAAAAAATGGTTCAAAATATAAAGAAATATGTGAATAAAAAAGAGAGAGATGAGGTGAGTTATGGATAGAAGACATTTTTTGTGGGGAGACTTTTCTTTTTTTTGAGACAAAGTTTTCCTCTTGTTCCCCAGGCTGGAGTGCAATGGCGTGATCTCGGCTCACTGCAACCTCCACCTCCTGGGTTCAAGCGATTCTCCTGCCTCAGCCTCCCGAGTAGCTGGGATTACAGGTACTTGCCACCACGCCCAGCAAATTTTTGTATTTTTTGTAGAGATGGGATTTCTTTATGTTGGTCAGGCAGGTTTCAAACTCCCCATCTCAGGTGATCTGCCCACCTTGGCCTCTCAAAGTGCTGGGATAACAGAATCACTGCACCCAGCTGTTTTTTTTTTTTTCTTTTTTGAGACGGAGTCTTGCTCTGTCACCTAGGCTGGAGTGCAGTGGTGTGATCTCAGCTCACCGCAATCTCCGCTTCCCAAGCTCAAGCAGTTCTCCTGCCTCAGCTTCCCAAGTAACTGAGATTACAGGCATGAGCCACCATTCCTGGTTAATTTTTTTCTTTTTAGTAGAGAGGGGGTTTCACCATGTTGGCCAGGCTGGTTTTGAACTCCTGATCTCAGGTGATCTGCCTGCCTCTGCCTCCCAAAGTGCTGGGATTACAGGCATGAGCCACGGTACCCAGCCACCCTTTCCATATTCAGATATGTTTAGATACACAAATAGTTATGATT